ATCTGTTAAATTTGTAGTTTTCTTTATTGGTTTTAAGAGTTTATCTTAAAACTCAAGTTTCTTGGTTCTTTGCTCTTGGTGTAAATCGAACACATTTGTGGAGTCGTCTAAATATGTTGGATTTTAAATATATTGGATTTTAAATTGTCATACATTTTTTTTCATCTATAGTCTGTAATTGGAACCATAAATCTTATTTATTCAAATTGTATTAATATATAAAAACCAAGTGTAACATATATCATCGTTAAATCTTATCTTATAAAACCAGTGGAACTTCAAAATCGTTAAAACTCATGGCTCCCGCCGCATTGCGCGGGTACACAACTAGTGCATCAATTAGCAGTACTTCATGTATAAAAGATGGTTTTTAAAAGTTTTTATCAAATTCTTTATAATATAATATAGATAAAAGGTGAAAAAAACCTTCCTTATTGGGGTATTATAAATGGAACACATGAAATAACATATGTTATATGTTAGAGCATGAAATATGTTCATAATAATGTAATATGATATGTATGACATATAAAATGGAAGAGTGTTTTATAGTATTTTTTATATTGAATTTGATTTTTGATGATGAAAAAATCGTTTAAGATTTTTATCGTACTTGTTGGAGCATTTTTTTTGTATAATATACTCTGGATCTATAAATTGTCATGATTGGGCCTGGTTTGTGAGTTTGGTGCATCGTCATGTGCATCTGTATGTTGTTTATGTGTGCTTGTTTTGTTTGTGTGTTTGTTGCATGTCATGTGCATGTTTGGCGATAGATGAAAACATGTGTTGCGTGTGCGTGTGTGATCTTGGAGAGAAACAAAGATTTCGTGTGTGCATGCGTGTATCTGTTACACATACACGTTTGTTTTACTTTTGTGTGTGTTTGGAGGGAGATTTTGAGATTCAGGTGTCTATCTGTCATGTGCGTGTGCGTGTTTGGAGAGAGAGAGAGAGAGAGATGTGCGTCGTGCGTTTTGCTCTCGCGACTTACTTGCGTGTGTACAACATGTCGACATCCAAGTTTGGTTCCATTTCTCACCTTCAACATTTTATATATTTTCATTTTTGCCTTGTCTTTTAACATATACCAAAATCAAACACTTAATTAGCCTCTAATTTTTATTCCAAACAAAATACTAAGAGGCCGTTTACCTAAATGCTTACCCGGTAAGTGCTTATCATTAACATTCAACATTATACTTTATTTTGATACGTAAGATTTTAGTACATCAAAACATATCGAATGCAACAAGTTACTGAGTAAGTGCTTATCTGGGTAAAAGTCGCTATCCTTACTTACGGGGTAAGAATCTCTATCATTTTCATTGCTCTTACCCGGCAAGATTCTTGGCCCTTTTCATGTTCATCCGATAAGGAAATTTATCCGGTAAGCACTTACCAAGTAAGTGTTTAGTAAACGGCCCCCAACTCTCTAATGTGTTAACAACTAATCGTAATCTCAATCTGTATCATTAATTCCTTAACAACTTTGAAGCTTACATATTGACGTACATGTGTATAAAACTCCTAAAACTACTTAAATGGAGATAGTTTACGAATCTTTGAAATCCGATCGCTTTTAACAGTAAGATTAACGCTCAAACGAAATAAAGAAAATCAAGGGTCCCTTCTGAAACAAATGAAAAAATGGAATTAAATATACAGATGTATGAAAGTCAAGGGTTGTACGGATAAAATGAAAATGGTATGCGAAAATCAATTTGAGCCTACCATACTAAACAACACAAAAAAACACCGATATAAATGAATTTAGTTTGTACTGAGTCTGATTTCATGTGTACTACAAACACCTTTTTGCAGTACAACAGTGGTTTGATTAGGCCATTTACCACCACTTTCCGTTAATGGATTGGTTGAAATTATCCTTCCACACCTATTAATGTACTACAATTATTGCACCAAATAAGCCATCTAATTTCTTCTGGGGTTAAGTTTTCAAGACTTCATCGTTTCTTGTTTCTCAATATCAAGATTGTTCTTCCTAAATCATTGATTTGAAGTGGGTATTTATTGATTTGAATTTTTGGAAGATGGAGAATTCGAAGGAGATAATGGAGCAGACGAATGAGGATGAGGATGAGGATGAGGATGAGGATGAGGATGAGGATGAGAATGAGAATGAGAATGAGAATGAAAATGAAAATGTTAACGTGGTGAAGAGGCTACCACCATGGACTGCACACATTACATTACGAGGACTTGTGGCAAGTTTAGTGATTGGTGTGGTTTATAGTGTTATAGTAATGAAGCTTAATCTCACCACTGGCCTTGTGCCCAATCTCAACGTCTCCGCCGCTCTTTTAGCTTTCGTATTCATTAAAACATGGACCAACCTCGTTCACAAAGCTGGATTCGTTACAACTCCGTTCACCAAACAAGAAAATACCATCATCCAGACTTGTGCTGTTGCATGTTACAGCATTGCTGTTGGAGGTATACACAATTTCTTTACTTCACTAATATTGACTTCATCTTATGATTATTGATTTGGATTAAGGATAAATGATGTAGGTGGATTTGGGTCTTATTTATTGGGATTAAATAAGAAGACCTATGAGGAAGCAGGTGTTGATATAGATGGGAATTCTCCAGGGAGTCATAAAGAACCTGAAATTGGTTGGATGGTTGGTTTTCTGTTTGCTACTAGTTTTGTTGGGCTCTTCGCATTGGTTCCTCTAAGAAAGGTTTGTACTTTATGATTAATTGACTTGTACTATCTTAGAATACTTGCATAGCTAACCATGTTGTAAATGCTGTAGATTATGATCATCGACTACAAGTTGAGATATCCTAGTGGAACAGCTACAGCAGTTCTCATCAATGGCTTTCATACTCCAAAGGGTGACAAGATGGCTAAGTATATATGCATCGATTTTGGTTCATACACATCAAACATATATAACCACTTAGCGATTCATGCATTAATTTCATTAAATTGTTGTTGCAGAAAGCAAGTCATGGGTTTCATGAAATTCTTCTCTGCGAGTTTCATGTGGGCTTGTTTTCAATGGTTCTATTCTGGTTCGGGCACATGTGGATTCACTTTTTTCCCAACATTTGGGCTGAAAGCTTTCAAGAACTCGTGGGTGTTTATATTTATATTATTTTGGTTAGTTTAAGGAAACATTGTATGAAGATCTATGTTGATAAATTTGCTATTGATTGCAGGTTTTATTTTGATTTCAGTATGACTTACATTGGAGCCGGAATGATATGTTCATATCTTGTGAACTTGTCGTTGCTTGCAGGAGCTGTGCTTTCATATGGTGTTATGTGGCCACTCATTGGCGACCGTAAAGGTGCTTGGTTTCCAGCAAATTTACCTGAAAGCAGCATGAAAAGTTTAAACGGCTACAAGGTTTGACAGTACGATAAACTAATCTTCAACATGGATAAGATTCATATTATGATTTGAAATCTTTGCAGGTTTTCATATCCATTGCTCTTATCCTAGGAGACGGCCTGTATAATTTTCTCAAGATCACAATTTTTACAGCAAGAACCATATATCTAACCTCTCGGAAGAAACCCAAAACTAGTAAGTAATAATTCCAGAAGTGCAGATAAGAACAGAAAGAAGACAAATATTTTGGATTAGTAGCATGATTAAAACACAAACTAGCATCTCATTTCAAAATCTTGCTAGATTTCTTAGGGGTTATTTGGCTTCATCACCTCCTAAGAAGTGGTTTTTAAATCCATGATTTTTTGACAAGTTTATAAGCATTATTGTGTACGGAAGTCATGAATTTAAAAAAAACATCCCTGATTATGGTTCTTACCTGTATCGAGTGACATTCTTGTGGCACTGTTAAATACAGATCCAGATGACACCAATCAACCCCTAGATGATTCTGAACATAATGAGGTATTCTTGAGAGAGAGCATTCCCTTCTCGCTAGCGGCTAGTGGTTACCTGATCTTGTCCATTCTTTCTACCATAGCCATCCCACTTATGTTTCGAGAGCTCAAATGGTATTTTGTTCTCGTGGCCTACATTATTGCACCATCTCTGGGATTCTGTAATGCATATGGGGCTGGTCTAACAGACATGAACATGGCATATAATTATGGAAAAGTTGCGCTCTTTGTGCTATCTGCTATGTCTGGGAAGCACAACGGGGTCGTTGCTGGGCTTGTAGGATGTGGTTTGATAAAGTCCATTGCCTCAATTTCATCTGATCTGATGCATGATTTCAAAACGGGTCATTTGACCTTGACTTCACCACGGTCCATGATCGTTAGCCAAGCCATTGGGACCGCCATTGGATGTCTAGTGGCTCCGCTGACCTTCTTCTTATTCTACAAAGCATTTGACATTGGAAATCCAAATGGAGAATATAAAGCTCCTTACGCTGTTGTATATCGAAACATGGCCATTTTAGGTGTCGAAGGCTTCTCTGCATTGCCTAATCATTGCTTACAGCTTTGTTACCTATTTTTTGCGTTTGCCTTGATGGCAAATTTTCTAAGAGACATTTGTCCAAAGAAATTAGCGAAATTGCTTCCCTTACCAATGGCTATGGCTGTGCCTTTTCTGGTTGGTGGTTATATCGCTATTGATATGTGTGTGGGAAGTTTGATTGTGTTCATATGGCACAAGCTCAATAAGCGAAAAGCAAACCTGATGGTTCCTGCTGTTGCTTCAGGTTTGATATGTGGTGATGGATTATGGATTCTACCATCATCGATCCTTGCCTTAGCTAGGATCAGACCTCCGATCTGCATGAATTTTGTGTCCACAAAGAGCTCATAAAACTAGGATTTATGTTGAAGAATCTCAACAATCTTTAGCATTTTTGTTTTATATTTAGAATAGGACGTAGAGAGCAACAGAGTTATAGTAGTAAAAGATGGTTATGGCTCTGTCCAAACATGTATATGTTTCTTGTTTCATTGGAGACCTTGCTTGTGCATTTTAGTAGCAACAACCAGGAACTATATGTACTACAAACAAAAGAAAAGGAAATTTCAACAAAAGAGTCATGAAGATCATATTTCATTCTGTAACGACCCACCATGCACCTCCCCTATTTTGGCTAAAACTCTTTTTGGTCCTACCACCTATGAAAGTGAAGGAAATGTGGAAAAAGAACTAAAGAAACAACAAGCCACTACTGCAATTAGGTGTTTCATGACGACCACAAGTTAAAATGTGGCAGGTAGTGGACATGAAAAGATGATGTAACATTCATTGACCCTACCTTAGATAAGTATCCATAAAAAAGTGCAAGATTTTTTGTTTAGTCTAATTTTCACATGAATCATCTTCAGCCAAAATAATTCATTCCAACTACGTAAAGATAATTGAAATCATCACCATATAACACTTCATCCGTTTTAGAAAGAAGAACCACTCATTTTCTTATAGGATCAGATGACCCCACCATATTGGAATTCATTAAATCATAATCTATTCATCTTGAAGATGTATTATGAATAATAGAATGATAGTGAAACGACTAATGTTCAAAGGTTGTACAAAATATCAAAGGTTATCGGGGTGAAATAGATGATGTCATAGTTAAGCATGGTGGATAACTGATCTTTAAGAGTAATATAGACTATTATCTATTGTTTGGCCAGAGTGTGGACTTGAATTTCACTTGAACAGAAAGTGTAGTACAAGGGACTTTTTCCGTATTTCGACCGAAAAATATAACAAAGACATTATTGTGGAGATTCTTACCAATGGAAGAGCAGATAGGAGTTAGACATGAACCACATGATGATGATGACATGAAGGATGAAACAGAACTGAAAGTGATAATTTGCTTCTATTAGTACTTTTACTCTGAATTACAAATTTGAAACAAGAAAAACCATGATACCAATTCCCTTCTCTCCATGATCAGAAACCCCCCCAAATCAAAATGTATATTTATAGATTGATCAATTCAGTAACACCCCAACAAAAATGACCTCTACTCAAAGTTCACACATATCTTTTAACTAATTTCGTAGTATATGGAGTTTAGTTGTAATTTATAGGTGTACCGAAACCTCACTCAAATGGGCAGAGAGTAACGGTGAAGATGGTTGCCAACAAAACTACCATGAAAGAAGAAAGGGGGAAGGCGTTGATATTCTATTCCTAGCATGCTCATGACGCAATTTGTTTGCTTAACGAATTTGTAATGAATAAGTGATTGAAGTATCATCATCACGTTAAAATGTGTAAATTGCCATTAAAACGCAACAAAATTTTCAGGAATTTAGGTAAACAACGAACAAATTACATTACAATATCCAAATAAGGATCATAAATCGAGTTTAGAAAACCTGTTTGCTGAAACACGCAAGCCTCGTACAGCCAGGCCCCTTGAAAACGGAATACATCACCTACATATCGCCACGATATCATGTGATGGAACCATCTCCAAATCATCCAGCAAGTCACCAACAACTTCATCAAAATTCCACATATAGATTACTATTCCGTTTCTTCTGCCGAATTGGCACGTCCACGGGAGTTGATTGGTTGTACTTGATGGGCCCCGGAGGCATTGTCCGAGCATCCATGGCGGCAGACAGACTATCTCGTAGTAGGTTTTCAGCTAACCAAGGCCCATTCATCGTTCGGAGAAGATAAAGTCGAAGACGTTGATGAAGGTGCCGAAGGAAACGACAATGGAAGATGACATGGCAACAACGATTGCGACAAAATCAGCCATAGTTCCGGTTGTTGAAGGCGGTTGACCAACAAACTCTTTTCCATCGCTAGTGGCTAGAAATTGACTGAAATAACAAATTCCCTTTATGTGATCGTTTTAAAGTGAATTCTCAAAATAACAGCCGTTAAAGTTTACGCAAATGAACCACCTTTTTTAATCTAAGAAAATGGAATTTATATAAATGCATAAACTCTTTTCTATTTTGGACAAAATGCATAAAATAGCAATCTACTTTCATAAATTTCTTTATTATAGCATTGTACTTTCAGTTTTTCTTATTACAATAATGTACTTTCAAATTATTTTTTATTAGGACATTGTACTTTGAAAATTTTACCCATTATAGCATTGGGTAACCTTTTGATTTAAATTTACCCATTATACTAGGTTTCCATGCCACCTCATTGTCCACGTAGGCTGTCCACATGTACTATAGTGATGTGACTTTCTTATTACATCATTGTACTTTCAAAATTATTTTATTATAGCATCTACTAGTTCTTATTAAACACTGTATTTTTAATTTTAATATTTAGATATTTTACATTTTTTTAATAAATGTATTAAATGAATTAAAAAAATTATAAATTATTCATTAATATACCAATATCAATAAAACTAGTAGAACACAACTTATCTCGCTAATATTTTTAAAAAAAATATGTGTTTTTTTGAAAAAAGGAAAATAAGAATTGTTCTTTTTTTACCAAAAAATATTATCTTTACTTGACGAATATATTATATTTGTTTAAAAACTTTTTACTTGACGTATAAATATATTAAATTAATTAAATTTTTTTGAAGTATTTATTAATATAACAATATTAAAAAACTGTAGAAAACAATTTATTTCGTTAATATTTTAAAGAGAACTTTAAAAGATATGTATTTATTTGAACAACATAAAATAGGAAAAATTGTCTTTTTTACAAATAAAATATATCTCGAAAACAATGTTGCATATTTATTTAATAAATATTTTACTCTAAGAATATTTAATTTAAATGCAACTTAATAAGAAAAAGTAAAAAAAAATGTTTTTTTTAGATAATAGCAATGAAAAATGAAAATCACTAATAATAATTTGAAATATGTTTTTATTTTAATTTTAGTTAAATCATCAAAATGATGTGTCATTCACATCACCTCATTAAAGCCACACAAGCAAAAAAGTCAAAGGGTTAACCGGTTTAAAAGGTAACAGGTTACCCATTGCTATTATGGGTAGATTTTTTAAAGTACAATGCCTTAATAAAAAATAATTTGAAAGTACATTGCTGTAATAAAAAAAAACAAAAGTAGAATGCTATAATAAGAAATTTTGTGAAAGTAGGTTGCTATTTCATGCATTTAACTCTTCTATTTTCAATTACATTTTATATCCTTATAATTAATTATATAATATAATCTACATCGTTTTTTCTCATATTTCATTTTATACATTTATTATTATTATTTTTATTCCATCTAATTGGATAAGTTTAAGTTATTTGTTGCATAATTATTTTTTTGTTTGTTTGTTGGTTAATTATTATTGTGTTTGTTGTCCCTTAAAAACAAAAAATCTTTTTTCTTATGTTGTTTTTTCTGTTAGTGTGTTTAATCAGTATTTTCTCTTTGTCTGTTAATTTTATTAATTTTTGTGTTTCTCTGTTTCTTATAAAAAATATAAAAATTTTTAAAAACTGGAAAATAAAAAATTGGTTTATCCTCATGTCAAAAGTTTTAGACGTTTTTTTTCTAAAATTGATCTCAGACGTTTGTTTAAAAAAGAACTTACCTTCATACACCTTCAATTAATTTTCAATAAGACTTGTAAAATTATTTTTTCTAAAGAACTAAAAATGGTTTTAAACGATGAAGAACTTTTTAATTTGGAAGACCAGTTGTATTTGTCAAACCAAATTTCTGCTAAAGAATACATTTTTTATGACGAAGACAAAAATATTAGAGTCGGTTTATTGCATGATACCTTTGCAGCTATTTATACTATTATAGAAAAGACTCTAAATCCAGACTGTAACAGTGATTTAGACCTTATTAATTTAGAAAAAGTTACTTGTGATCATAATTGACAAAAATATACGGGAACTGATAATATTCCCTGTGTTATTTGCAATCTTTTTCCGCATAAAAGACTAAGAGCAAAATGCTTAAATAGCCATGTAGAAGCGTGCATAAAATGTCTTGAAAAGAAAGATTTAATAAAAATAGAACCAAATTATATAAATGTTGCCAAAGACCTTGATAAACAAGAAATCAGAGTTTTAAGAAAAAAAAATAGAAAATGTTGAAGATACGGTAAAACTTTTTCAAAAGAAAATAGACTTTTTTGAAAGGGTGGTAAAAGGGAAAGACACCACCATAGACGAAAATAAAGACTTTATTCAACAAGACTATGTGCAAGTTGTTTGCATATTAACAAACATTAAATTTTATTTAATTAACATACATCAAAAAATTGTTTCTCCTTTTACAAATTATATAATTGTAATTGTCTTATCAATACTTTTAAAATGAGCTAAATATTGAATATTTTTGGATTTAATCATATCACTAAATATCATAAATACATACGAATCATTTTCAATACTACACTTGATACACTTTTAGTTACAAATTAAATAAATAACTATAGGGGTATAAATCTTAAGTATTAAAAAAATCCGTATGTGTTTATGATATTTAATAATATGATTACATCTAAAAATATTCAATATTGATTTTATTTTGAAGGTATTAATGAGAGAATTATAACGATATAATTTGTAAAAAAAAATATTTTTAATATATTCTAGTTAATAGAGAGATTATGTATGTTAATATGACAAAAGTATAAAATAAAGTAAATGAAAAAATAAATGATGTAAAGTAAATCAAAAGTGAATTGAGTTGGATATATGACTATTTACACCTTATGGTCGACTTGCTTGAATCGAAGAAGAAGAGCCCACTTGAATATTGAATTCAGGCTTCCAACGGCGGATTCCCGATAAGCAGTCTCAACTCCACGGGTAACAGTAGCTTCCCCAGCGGTGCCTGTGCTCACCATTGGAATCCCATAATAAATTAGCCATAACACGTGGCGCTTTCCGACCAGGTTACTATCGAACAACTTTTAAATCCGCCAGTTGTGAACACTAAATGGCAAATAAATCAAACTAATTCAGAATTCCATGGTTAATTTCCCTAAAATGACTAATTTGTTGGAGATGTGTAATTACAACTAGGGATACAACAAACCTTATATCCAATTTTGGTTTGACCGAAAAATGTCCGAATTTACTAGGGATGGTG